TGCTCCGGTTCTTCACCCTGAGGCTCCTCCACATCTGCCAGCTGCTCCGGTTCTTCACCCTGAAGCTCCTCCACATCTGCCAGCTGCTCCGGTTCTTCAGCCTGAGGCTCCTCCACATCTGCCAGCTGCTCCGGTTCTTCAGCCTGAGGCTCCTCCACATTTGCCAGCTGCTCCGGTTCTTCAGCCTGAGGCTCCTCCACATTTGCCAGTTGCTCCGGTTCTTCTGGCAGAGGTCTCCCTACCTCTTCGGGCTGAAGCCGCTCCTGCTCCGTCAGCGATTCATGTTCCACCAGCTCTGGCTGCTCTTCTTTTTCAGATTTTTGCTCTACCTCTTCGCCCCCCACTAGAGTTGCTGGGGCGTCAGGGTGCTCCGAAGGCGGTGTGCTATTTTCCGCGTCCATATGCGTTGCGTGCTACCGGCCTACTTTTCTGTCAACACTGAAAGAAGAGAAGATGGTCTAGCAAACAGAGGTCTAGCATGAAAACAGCACAACGGAATGAAATTTATTTTTTCTCATATCATCAGACACTTTCACCAGTACAAGAATACACACACGCACCAGCTTACACGAGGCCGTACTACCGGTGGTTGCCCTGTTTGCTATCTACTTCCCCTGGGCGTCCCTCCAGCACGCTAAGCTGCTCCAACACAAGCCTCTCATTCTGCACCGAGTAAAATTGGTACAGGCCAGCACCAACCCCAAGACTGAGAGCCACGCCAGTGAGAGCTCGAAGCATGGCAAAACACGGAGAATCACTGCACACCCGTGATTTCTCAACCGGGTCCTTTCTTTTACTCCCTTTTTTTCTTCTGAAAAAGAAAGATAAAAAGCTACATAAGAAAAGAGTAGAAGTGAGATCAAGCGATGCCGAGGGTAGGGATAAAAAATTTTAAATTGTGAATCAAGCAGGGAAGGATAAAGCAAAACACATCAGGCTGTTAATATCACCCAATAGAGCAAATAAAAAGATCACGGCATGTTGAGAAGCGTAGCTCCTCGTGTGTGCACTCAGCCAAGAAAAAAGTGCTAAGACTCCTCTATTGGTTGACTATCTGCCTGATTTACCTTCCTCACGCACTCCAACAATAAAAATGACCATGAGAGACTCAGGAGAGTATAGATTCATTTCATCTCATCGGCTTAGGCATATCCAGCTGCTTTAAGGGCTTCCATAAACCCCTCATGGAATTTTGAAACGTCCCGCTGCTCCAAAACGGCTGGACCTGTCTCAATTGTATTTACGTTTTCCGTGTTGTGATATAAATTGCTCAGCGCATCCACTGCTTCTTGGCGCTCAAATACCAACGATGGGGGAAGCTGTACTGATGACGACGACGGCGGCGGCGGTGGGGATGAGTGCTCGTGGGGCGCTGGTGGCGGAGGCTGTGCTGTGACAGTGGCTTTGCGGTTCGATGAGTCCTCTGCGCGCGCGAGAGCTCGCTGACTCATCCATTTCTTTGTGGTGGATTGTGTCGGTACCTTTGACATGCCAACCTTTTTTTTCCTTTTTTTTAATTCAGTTAGTTTTTTTTAAAAAACTTTTCAAAGCAAGGCAAGAGAAATAAGAGAAGAGATGACTTTCCTCACAGGACCGCTCCGTCCAATGCTGAACTTTCACTCGTCCATATCACACAAAGATAGACGAGGAGATCGGGGGATTTATACGTCTACGCTCACCAAGTGTCTGTTTATATTCTCTTGTCTTTTCGTTGTGATTCGTTTCATGGTGTCAGCAGAGGAGAAAATGCAGTAGGGGAGACTGTGGGTTCCATTTCCCCTTCGTGACCATCTACATCAACGATGGCTGGCAGAAACACAAAGCCAAATCAATAAAAAAAACTGATACAGCAGTGAAAGAGGCGCATGCATCTCACACATACGCAAGCCACTGTCTCCATGTTTCCACTTCACTTCGGATATCCGCAAGGGCCAATGCATCTAAAGGATCTACGCGTTCATCACGCCTCAGGTCAAGAAAAGCAGTAGGAAGCTTCTCAGCAACAAGACTCTTTACCTCGGCGGCGCTGAGAAGCTTCGGTAATGTTCCCACACCGTACCCTCCCCGCCCCCCTCCTGGAGCAGCACGTAGTTTTGGCTCATACAGGTCAATACGCCAACGAAGGTAACCGTAAGCACCGCGACGCCGTGGTACTGCAGTAGATAGTAGTTGGCTGTCTTCCCCGTCACCACCCGCCTTCTCAGAGGCTCTTCCGGTCTTAATACTACCATTTCGATCACCATTTATATTTAGAAAGTACTCCTTCGCCGACGAGGCCAGAAAAGACCCAGGTAAAAGTGGAGACCCCCATGGCGACGCATTTGCATCACTAACTGCCTCGCCAGTGGCTAACAATGTTTTGCTTCGCCATCTTATCCACGAATCGTACGTAATTCGTTGCCACGTGTGACCACTACGCGTGAAATCTTCGTCACTATTCTTCTTACCACCCTCAATAAAAGGCACGGCGGTCGTCAACAAGAGGATCCGCTGCAAAGCCGGGGCCGTCTTCTCAGACTCCTGAAACGCACGCCACTCCAGTTTCGCAACTTCCTCTTCAATATCTCGCTTCGCTATCAACTCCAAGTCCTCTTCGTCATTGTTGTCTTTGGATGATGTAGATATTTTGCGGTATACCTCGTAAAAAGCCGTAAATGCTCCCGCAGCTTTTAGGTCAGCAATTTGTTGGGCGTTCAAAGAAAAAATGTTGTCTTCGGTGGAAGATGTCGCCGGAGCTCCAGGATGCCTTTTGTAGCGCGGTGGTCCCCTGTTTCGTAATGGTGAAGAAGTCACTGTGGATGAAAATGAAATTGCCGGATTACTCCTAGAAAAACAGAATTGATTGTCCTTCACGTGATCACTCGAAGTGCTATTTATTATAGCAATTGGGGGCTGTACCACCGTCGTTGGCGTAGATGGTACAATATTATTGTGCATGCCAGCAGACAACAAAGTGTTAGAACGGCGTAGAATCGATGACAATGGTGCTTCAGGCCAACTGAAACAATACGATTGCTCGTCATGGAGCAAACCAACCTGAAACAACTGCTCGACACTTAAGGAACGCTCCTCCGCCGCATCCAGAGGTCTGTACCGTTTTCTAAGCATTTTCTTTAACTCATGGCTTTTTTATTTTTTTTATTTTTTATTTTTATTTTGATTTCCCTACCAGCTCGTAAATGCAAGAAGAAAATGAAAGAAATTAAAATTTAACAACCGTGGAAAATGAGTGCCTGGGATGCGCCATCCCAAAAAATGTGACCTTTTTTCTGATCTTTTTTCGTTCCACTATCGGTTGTGACGTCGAGGAAGAGTTCACAAAAGAACAACCAAACACCTAAATACCATCTGCGGTGATAGCAGGTACGTCAAGAACTGCGGGTTGAGTGGCCAACCCAGCACGCTTCAAAGACAACAATGACGCATACGGAATTGAGGTACGATCAGGCAGTACCATCTCTGGATCTTCAGCCAGCGTAAGAATCAAATGAGAAGACTTCTTTGTTTTCCACGCATAGTAACCACGGCTACGAATGTCAATTTGCTTGTCAGTCGGCCCAGGGAAACACGAAATATGAGCAACGCGTAAATGCTCCTTATCAAGACCTTTAGCTTCAGCTCCTTGCTGAGCCATTTCCAATGCTCGGAATACGATTTGATGCCCTTTTCGCATCGACAACTTACATTGCGCCATAGCCTCACGCAGAGAGAGACCACGGAGAACACTAATTTCAATGTCAAATTTTTTCCAATTTGATGGAACTGCTTTCATAAGCAAAGTGTACTGCGGTAATCGCTCTTGGGCAGCTATCAACTCCGTTTCCAATCGTTCACAATAAAGTCCCCAGTTAATTTTGTGCATGACGCCTTCTTCCTCTACCAAGGCAAACCGATCATCGGTAACACGCTGGCTGTTAACTACACGCTCCCATCGATTAATATCTGGTATATTCAATTTAGTGAGCCAAAGCGATTTCCAAAGGCTGCGGTCAAGAAGAATTCGCGGAGTCGTGCCACTGTGACGCTGAATAGCAAACGGACGAACAGAAAAATACTGTTTTTTATACCAAACCCTACGGGCTCCGTGCTTTTGCGTATACAGGAATTGAGAGCCCACATTAGTGCGACGGGGAAGCATGTGTCCCATGGCAAAACGGGGAGCGGGCTTCGGCATCGCGGCTATGTGCACTTCTGAGCTTTCCCTAACAGAAACTACCCTCTCACTTGGCACCATTCAAAAAGCGAGACCAAAACCAAAACAAAAGGAAAAAAAAACATTTCAAGAGAATTGAGAAAACCAAACCGACACGGCACATTTCTCTGCAAGGGGGAATAAAGAAAATGGCCACAAAGCAACTTAAAAAAGAAAACTACAATAACTCCAAAAAAAAAAACAGAACATGCTCTATTTTCATTGCACAGGGGTGTAAGTATATCGCTATGCGCTCCCACCCCCCTACATACACACACACATAAATACAAATACTAACACAGGGAGAAAAAAAAGACATTGACTCAAGACGTTGCAAGAAAAACGGAAGAAAAGTGATATATCTCCCAATTTCACCCCAGACAAAGAGCTGGCAGGGCTTTCGACAAGAAATCACAGCTATTCTTTTGTTTTCCTGTTACGTATCTTCAATCCAAATGCACCAATCTAAGACGATACCAACTTTCTAGCATATATGACGCGAAGATTCAAACAAAAGTCTTAAGCAGTGCAACGGACGGCTGAAAGTCACCGCCACTTCCCTAGTGAGTCTTACTAGCGAATAAAACGACGTCTCGAGCTAGTATCAGTTTGTTCCGCCCTGCTTCGTTGTGCCGATTGACCTGTTGAACTGTCTTCGGGGGATTTCATAGGATTCTCTCGAGTTTCCGCTGCGCTCAAAATATTGGGGGCCCTTTCACTTGCCTGTCTATCTTCTTCAGGTACTTCACTACTAAACTCTGCAGGATTCGCCGCTAAGGGAAGTGGTTGAGTACTCCTTGTAAGTGCTTCAATATGCCTCATAGGTACGTGATCCGCCAGAAAAGGATGCAAAGCCACCTGATCTAAAGAGGGTCTGTCATCTGGGTTACGGGACATTAGCCAAAGTGTTAACTCCCTCGCATTTTTGCTAACTGTTTTTGGCATCTCACAAATCCGGCCCAATTTGATACGTTCTTCCAGCTCCCGAGCGTCTGTAGTGTACCCAAAGGGGAAGCAGCCAGTCAGCAACACGTATAGGATACATCCCATAGACCAGATATCTGCCTTGAAAGCATCATAGGTGCCACCCAAAACCTCCGGGGCTACATATGCCAAGGTACCCGTGAGTGTATGGGCATATTCGTTGAGTTCAGCACGGAAGTTACTCTGCTTGTGCAGTCGACTCAATCCAAAGTCGGATATTTTTAATACGCTCCCTTCAGTCAAAAGCAGATTTTCTGGTTTTAGATCCCTATGGGCGACACCATTCTGGTGACAAACACGCACACCGGCCACAAGCTGGAAGAAGAGTGTAGCCACAATATCTTCTGAAAGACACCCATCTTGGGAGAGAATTAATCTACATACATCTCCGCCAAGCACCGGCTCAAGAATAATGTAGTAATTGTTGGGGCTCTCCAAAATCTCCACTAATTGAACGATGTTGCGATGCTTTAGTCTACGAAGGATTGAAATTTCTAGTCGCACGTCATTTTCCACACGCTGATTGGTCTTGGGGATGATTTTTGCGACGAAACACACATCGGTAGGGATATGCCGCACTTTCTTGACCTTGCTAAATGCCCCTGAGCCAAGGGTCTCTAATACTTCATATTCACCTACCCTTCCCATCGGAGGGTATAATTTCTTTTTTGGAACACTAGTAAAGGAAAAACCTAATACACAAATAAACAGAAACCTTTTTATTGTTATACTTTACATAATTACATTTCGCCATAAAAATAAAAATAATAGTAATAATAAACCCAACAAAAAAAGAATCAGTACAGGAGATAATAATTGCACCAACAGAATGTCATGACCACACCAAGTGATGCTCCTTCAACCAACGAAGCCTTTGTATTACGTTCAGGAAACAAAGCATTGTCACTAGCTCTATTCCAAACACTACAGAGATACCTCATTGATTGTTTGGCACGAGCCGCATTCAAAGCGAACATCCGTTACATCCATACCAACCTGAACGGCATTAATGCTGCTACACTCCCCACAGCGAACCTGGACTCGTCGTGTTGCAGGAGGGGTAACCTGAGGATGTGAAACTTCATTTGATGGTGGTGTGTCTTTAAGCTGGCGGCAACAACCGCCGCAAAGAACGGCATCGAACTTACCCCGTGGAATCCTGTTCAAAGAATGACATGCAGTACAATTCATTAACTTCTGCTTGCCTCTTGATGTATCAGCATTAGCATGGACCGTGGGAAAAGGGAGAATTCCGTGACACTGGATGCAAGTGTATTGAGTCCCTGGAACAACTTCACTAAAAGTATTGACAAAAGTACAGACAGTACACTGTGCAGTTGCAATGCCAGACGGCTGATTTGGCATCCCTGTTGTTGGTTGATGAGTCGCAGCGGATCCGTTTATCTCTTCATGCAGCTGCCTTGCCATTGCGGCATCGCTCTCTTCTTGTTTCAAAGCGTTTTGTTCTTCCATAACGACGATCCTTCGCAATAAAAAAAGAAAACGGCAGGAAGAGATGTGCGGCAAAACCGCTCCCCTTTGGCCATCGGTAAAAAAAAAAACAGGTCAATCAGAACTGCGGCAATATACGGAAACCTGCCACCACCACGGGGGAAGAAAAACAAAGAACAGCAAACGCACCAGAAAAAAAAACCCACGCGACCACTCCACCCCCCCGCTTTCCCTTTGCTGCCCGGCCCCGCAAAAACCCGAAAAGCCGGCAGGCCACCGGCGCGGACCACGACCGCCCGCCCTCTGAAAGAACCGCCCCCCCCGCCGCACGCCGGGACGGATGCGGGAGGGTGGTGGGTTGGGGTTGCCTTTGCCGCCGGGCAAAAAGGACGGGGGCGTTGCGCGGGGCCCTTTGACCAACCGTCCGCCGGGGTGCGGGGGTCTTGTTTGCGACTTTTTCTTCCTGGTTTGGGTGCGGGTTGTGTGTATGTTTTTTTTTTGTTCGCGCTGGGCTTATTCATTCTTTTATATTTTTTTTCTTGAAGTGCTTAGATGCATGGCGGAGGATGCCGACACTGTCTACAAACAGGCGATTCAAATTATTGAAGTAGCCACTATACCACCAGATCCGGATGCCCCAAGCTGTGACATTTGGCGCCTGAGGCCCAGCGAAGAAGCCGCCATCGCTATTCAACGTCACTTAAATCCACCACCTCGCTGGGGAATTAAACTTAGTTTGAATTCGACGTTTTGTGGACCAGAGAGGTGCGCTAGTATCGGTCGCAAGCTTATATTGAATAATACAGTTACCACATTGGATTTGTCAATGTGCGATATGCAAGAAAAAGCAGCTGTCGAGTTTTTTTCTTGCCTCTCAAGGAATAAATGCTTGAAACACCTAAATGTCAATGGGAATTATATTGGTGATAGAGGAGCAGTTGCCGCAGCAGCATGTATTAAAAATTTGGAAACGTTGCACATGTCAAGTAACGGNATGGGAATTATATTGGTGATAGAGGAGCAGTTGCCGCAGCAGCATGTATTAAAAATTTGGAAACGTTGCACATGTCAAGTAACGGAATACATGATGAAGGAGCGATTGCCGTTTCTTCCGCGTTGCGTCTTTCTTCAAAAATAAAGACCCTAAATCTGCGGGCCAATCGTATTACATTTTACGGCGTGTACAAGCTGATTGATGCTTTGGAACCTGTTTTGCATTGCATTTCTTCCGCCCTCGCGGAGAGTATCAACGAGAGGGAGCCTGCTAAAGCCAAAGGTTTCGATGATACACAGAGCGTTTCAACAAAACTTTCAGTGCGTGAAAACTTGGATATTAGTGTGGATGCTGTCGATGAGAGTGTTGGAGAGGGGACTTCGCAAGTTATACAGGATGATAATTCTCCTGCAGAAATTTACAATGAGACGCTTCATACTCTCTGGCTTCGGCATAATGATGATGTACCGGATGAGCTTCTCAAAATTGTGGATACAATTCTTGCCAAGAGGTTTCCTCAACCACCTCCAGGTATCTCAAAAAAAAAGAAGAAGACTGCCGCCTCAAAACAGAAAAGCAAATAGTTCCTTTATTGTTACCTCTTTCACGCTGCAATATGTGTATTTACAGGTGTTTTGGAATGTATCCCAAATTGCATGACGTAAACATTGTATGGGTGCCGATTGAAAAATGGTGAATGTTTTCGTCGATAGATGTGTTATTTAATTTTCATTTTTTTTTTTCTTCACTTCCCCTTTTTCTCGAAAATGTAGCTGTGATGTTTCACAAAAAGCATTCAATAAAAGAGGTGAGTGCAGTTGGTAAGAAAGAGGCCAAAAAGCTTAGAGAAGGTGTCGTGGGCCTCTTGGAAAATGAGCACTCAGAGTGCGTGGAATCCTTCTGGAAAAAAAACGATACTCTAACTCGTATCACGTGGGATTTTTCGACTGGTGGCAGTGCAGCGTTTTATGTGGTGAATGAAGTTCCATTGGCTATATCCACTTGTTTGCCTGATGACGCACACGGTGCCAATTCAAAAGGCGAGATGATTTTAGCTCCGACATTATTTTTCTTCCTGATGGTACGGAACTACTACAAAGGAGAGGATGTGGACATTGCCACTTTGTATGGCCCAAGCGTTTGGTGCCGGGGCCCGACTTCGCAGTTTATTCTTTCGGGGGCTCATCTCATGATACCTGGAGTTGTCAATGTCGGTCTGCGAGACGAAAAACCGCTACGCACTGGACAGCTGGTTTTCGTTTATTCCCTGGGGACGGTTTGGCCTTACGCTATTGGGCTCTCAACAGACGAGCTTGTGAACGGTTCTGAGAGAGGCAGAGCTGTGTACGTACTTCACTCTTATAGAGATTCCTTGTGGGATTCTTACTACACATTGTATAATGCAAAATGTGGATCTTTGTGTTCTTCTCTTCCATCAATGTTTCGAAGCACAGATGTTGCTGAAGGAGAAATCCAAAAAATAAACCTGTTGTGTGATGACTCAATGGGAGAAGAGCTTGAGAAAAAAGAACCAATCGAGGATTTTGAGACACCAGAAGAAGGGACTTCCCATACAGAAAACGATATTCTCAAATCTGTAATGGAGGATCTTGCAGAAGAAGATGGTGTTCTAGATTTTGCACTGTGCGAAGCGGTAAAGGGTCTCTCTCAGTCCATGCTTCCCATACCTCTGACTGAGTTTTCACCGCTTTTACTTTCAAATTATCCCAGGGTACTAGGTGCTGATATGCATATTGATTTCAAACGAACGAAGTACAAAAAGCTCCTTACATATCTTTTTTCGAGGGCTGATGTGGTTTCTGTTTCCGAAGAAAAAAAAGGAAATCACTCCTTAACTCGAATTAATAAAACTAGCGAGCTGCTTAGACAGCATCGGCGAAAGTTTGCCGATTTCTTGTGTCAGGTTCATGAACCTGCAAAGGAGGAAGAGATGCTGGAAGCTGAACAACAGGTGTTCCGAGAGAGTGGAAAGGGTGTTTTTAAGCGCCGTATTGTGTCAATCGAGACCCTTTTTTCACCTCGAAATGGGGAGCCCCTTGAATTGAAAAGAATTCTTTGTACAGGTATCTTTCCTGGGCATCCAGGTGGGAATGCGCAAGAAGAGAATGTTGCTCAATGTGTTGCAGCTGGATTCATTGATGACGATGATACATTTTTAGATGAGCTATACTCCCGCAAGCACTTGTGTGATAATCTTCGCAGCTACGTTCAGTCACGCGGGCTTTTTCAATTGGGAGTAAAAAGTGAAGGTGCACCATTTGTTCGATTGAAAGAAGCTCTTTCAGTTCTTGTCAAAAATTCGGTCGAGCTCTTGCGCATTACAACCATTGAAGATACTGTTTTCCAGAATATGTTTACGCCCGTTCATCAAATCACTATGGAGACTAATCAGATTCTTAATGGTGCTTCGGCGTCAAAGTCTGTCATCACCCGAGCAATAAAAAAGGGAAAATTACCCAAAGTTTTGATGCATACCGAAAAGCGTGTAGGAAATAAAATAGTTACGGTGGTGAGAGGCTTGGATACGTATGGTTTTGATCTCATCTCTTTGGTGAGTGAATGGAAGCATCGGTTTTCTACATTTTGTACGATACATGACCCCTCTAAGGAAATGCAGAGAGTCAAACAAGGGACAAAAATTTCTTTGGAAGTTCAACTCGGTGGGGATTGGCTTTCTAAACTAAAGGTAGTTTTGGAGAAAGATATGGGTCTTCCACAATACCTTATAGATATACATGGTAAATAATGCCTCGAAAATACATCTCCATTCACCTTAAAAAAAGAAAGAAAAATTGTTGAAGGTGCGCAAATAAAAAATTTCTTATGTTTGATTTGCATTCAAGAAGTATATATACATAGTAATTTTTGTTATTCGTGTCTTTGTTGTGTTGTATTCTTTTTTTTAAATTTGTAATAGGTGAGTTTTTTTCCTTCAGGTCAACAAAACTATAATGAAAGCACTGCTTGCTGCTGCTGTGGGGTTTGCAACTGCGAGTTGGCATAACTTGGAGTCTGTGAACTGTTCTGCTTCGAAGAGTCCGTTTTCACAGTCTGAGTTTCGTCCTTTTACACTGATCAATTTTTACGACGAATCATACAACGCGAGAGTGTTTCGTTTCGCTCTTCCCGAGGCTGACATGCCTTTGAGTCTTGAGGTGGCCTCATGCATCACGGCGAGGTACGTCAACGAGGAAGGAAAAGACGTGGTGCGTCCTTACACACCCATCAACAGGAGTGACCAACGCGGTTACTTTGATCTGATTGTGAAGAGGTACGATAACTCTAAGATGGGGAGTCATCTTTTTTCCCTGAAAAAGGGTGATACTGTTGATTTCAAGGGGCCATGGGTGAAACTGCCAATCAAAGCGAATCAATACAAGCAAATTGGCATGCTTGCAGGAGGTACGGGAATTGCACCAATGTACCAAGTGGCTCGCAACGTCCTATGCACACCGAAGAATGCGACAGAGGTTTCTCTCATCTATGCTAACCATCGAAAGGAGGACGTGTTATTGGGAAATGAGCTAAATGAATTAATGGAGACATACCCATTGTTTTCTCCGTATTATGTTCTCACTAATGCACCTTCCGATTGGATGGGTGGCGTTGGATACATAAACAAAGAGATGGTCAAGTCACTCATGCCACCACCAAACCGTGCGGCAGACTCCATCATTCTGATTTGCGGACCGCCTCCGTTTATGGAAGCTATGTCAGGGGACAAGGACTTCAGTACTAAACCACCTTCTCAGGGTCAATTGAAGGGGATTCTTAAGGAGTTGGGATATATGCAGAAGATGATCTTTAAGTTTTAGAAAGCTCATTCGTATGGGAAGGTGAAACGCATTTTCTCTTCCTCCCGGTGTTGTGTTTGCAGGAGGAAAGAGTTTTTATTATTGGTGTTGTTCTCACAATGATTTGGCTATTGGTGAAGAAGAAAAGGAGACGACACCCAAAAAAAGTAATCAAACGCTGTAGTATCGTGAATTCCGAGATGTTGAAAAATGGTATTGTGTTATTCAGTATGATTAATAGGCCGTTGTGTTGCACGCAAATTATTTTCTTTAATGGCACCGATGCCGGATTTTCGTGTTGCTTTTGTTTTCCTTGAGTGGTATACTGACTTATTCCGTAACTGTTAATATCCCATGAAATGTGTTCATTCCTATTTTTTTTTTTTTGCGGGGAGCATAGAACGAAGAGAAAGAACAAAAAAAACATTTCCAGAGTTATGAGGTCATTTGCCGCCGGTACAGCTACTGCTTTGGCAGTCTCCAGCTGCTTTCGTTCTCAGTTCATGGCTGATACACAGAAAAGAAAAGTCTCCGCGTTTTCTCAGACTGAATATCGCCCGTATAAGCTTCTAAACGTACAGACTGAGTCCCATGATACGAAAATATTTTCCTTTGGTTTACCAGAGAAGAGCATGCCGGTTGGTCTTTTGCCTGAATCGTGTATCACGCTTCGCTACTTCGACAGCAAGGGTGAAGAGGTGATGCGACCGTATACACCGCTGAACTTGGCAACTGACAAAGGATCCTTCGATATTGTGGTCAAGTGCTACCCTAACTCAAAAATGGGCACCTACCTACACAATATGAAGAAGGGTACCATGATCGAAGCCCAAGGCCCTTGGTCGGTGATGGAAGTTAAGCCCAGTCAGTACGCGCATATTGGCATGCTCGTGGGTGGCACTGGCGTTGCTCCGGCTTATCAAGTTTTTCGTAACATATTGGCTGATCCAACTAACAAAACAAAGTTCACACTGTTTTACTGCAATAAAGCAGAGAAGGACATACTTCTGCGTGACCGCCTTGAAGCAATTGCACGTGAAAAACCGGACCACTTTACTGTATGCCACATGCTGGCGGAGACACCCGCAGGCTGGACAGGCTACAAAGGACACATTACAAAAGACATCATCAAGGAGAAGATGCCGAGTCCTGATCTAAAGGGCAATGCATTGGTAATGGTGAGTGGGCCCCCAGGCTTCATGAAGGTCGTTTGCGGAGAGAAGGATGGTCGCGAACAAGGACCCCTTGGTGGCTTCTTAAAGGAGCTGGGCTACTCATCAGAAATGGTTCACAAATTCTGATCGAAGGGAAGCCGTGTCTGATGAGTATATATTGATGGGGAGGAGGAAATAGTACCGCCACCCATGACAAGAACAAAATGTTCGAATTCTTACTATGTGTTTAAAAAGGGCAACCGGAAAGACGTTATGCCCTGGCTATTACCGTGCCTTGCCATGACGCAAACGATATTGCGGGTTTTGGGATTTCTGTGTAACTTAGGAACTTATGAAACAACAGCAAAACTGAATAAACGAAAATGTGGGTCTATCATTTCCTATTCTACATGCTGTTGCCTGTTGTGTAGTGTTGATGATAACTCCCTTTTGCGTTTTTTTTTTAGGAGAACGTTCCACTGGCGATGGGTTGGTAGCTTTTGTCTCATGATTGGCTGCAAGTATGCGTGAGTTGCATCACGTCTGGCTTTAACGCCATTTTTTAAATTATTAATCTGCTTTTTATTTTTGTTTACCTATCTTCTTTGTTTTTTTTTTCTTTTTACTGCTAGTCCGTAGTGGTAATTGGTAGCATCAAATGCATCGGCGAACGCTTCCGCTGCTGCTGTTTAGCAAGCCCATTACACAAGGGTACGTGGCGCAACTCCCACAGCCGACCCCAACACGCCGTCGCACATCGTGGCGCCGCGCTTTCGATGCAAACGATGAGGTGCGCCAAATGTACACCCCTGACGCTGAGCGGTATGACGAGTGGTACAAAGCAACGTACGGTATTGAAGACCCTAGCGATGGATGTGCCGCGTCCGGTGCAACGTCAAATAGGCGACTCGATGATACGAAGAACATGGAATCAAATGCTGACATGGGTGATCTTCGTGCGATTGAAGAGGAGTTGGAGTTTTGCTCTCAGCAGTTCAACCACAATACACTAGTGCGATGAGGTGACGGAAGAGAATGGATGTGATTGAGGTGTGATGCTGGTGGCGGTGGTAGTTAGTTTTTCTCTCGTGAAGAGCGACCTGCAAGCGGTGCTTAGTGTTGGATTGCGGTTCAGGACTGTGCTCTTCAGTGCAAGTGTGAATATACACATACGCCACACATGCATATCGAGGCACCGAAACAAGAGGGAGAATGAGAAGTTGGCTTCTCTCATTGTTTTCTTAAAAACCTGCTGTTTTTCTGTTCTACTGATCCCCCCCTGCTGCCCCTTTATCTTTTGAATGGGTGAAGTACTGCTCGGCAGAGTTTCACGCGAACCTTGAAGACGCCGTCTTTGGCGTGCAAAGCAAAACACACAGACTAATTTAGAGTCTTTGTGTCATATTAAAAGTTGAGTTCAAACTCTCAAGCCAAACAAGAAAAAGAACGAAAAAGGCAACAGGTAATACCCGAGGAAAAAAAAACGAGATCAGAATACTTGATGGTGAATTTTGAGAAACGTAGCGGACTGTACACTGCCATATCTGAGTCAACAATGATGAACAGTAAAGGCTTGTGTGAGAACGCGCAACAAGGCACAGCTGCCAAATGTGTCGAAAAATGCACCGAATTTGACAATATCGGTGATCGCTCCCCATGTATGGACTTTTACAAGTACGACAGCGCGTTTCAAGCTCCTCAGAGTTTCGCCGGTGCGGTGGACTCCCCGACGTCGTCCCTGTGTCTCACGGAAGCGTTGCTAACGGCAACTAATACAGTGTCGTCATCGACACTTTCGGCTACTTTCCCATTCCCAAACCAGATTAACGCCTTGGCCATGCTGTGGGAAGGAGGACAGGCAACAAACCTTTGTTCGCTCGTGGACGACGCCGTCGACTCTGCGACGGACCCACCTCCCACTGCTACCGTATTGTCAAACTGTGACAGTAACAACGATGAGAGTCGTTTTCCTTCTACGCTGTCAGGAACCGAAGCGTCGGCGAAACATTCTCCCTCTGCTGATGAAGTCTTCCCCATGCTGCATGTACAGCCGTACACGGAGCACGTTTGTTTTGGTGGTCTGCAGGGAAAGAGCGGCGGAGCCGAAGAGCATGATGTTGAGGGTAATGTGGAAGTTCTTAAAGCATCGCCAGTCATTTCCCCTCCACTGTCAGATGTTGTCAACTCCGTCGAAGAAAAAAAGGATGACACCATGAGCAATGACAAGAAACACACCAGCCTGAAAAACGGTGAAGCGGCGAAGGAGGGTAAAAAGGAAACGGTCCCAGTGGTGGACCCACAACGCGCGAAGCTTCACGTACCGCTAAGCGCCATTACCCCTACCAAAGCTCTTGGGGGCCGAGTGCAACACCCCAGCCTTTGTCTCCTCTTTCAGTCAGGCCGTTGTCGCCAGGGCGCCAACTGCTACCAGATGCACGTTGACCCGGAAGTGGTTAAGGAGCTGCGCCAGATCATCCAAGGCCTTCCGTGCTGCTGCACGTACCATGGTGACTGTAATAGCAAGCTGTGGGATGCAAAAGCTAACGCCGACCGCACCATTGTAATAAACAGGGTGGCGGTACCGCTTGTACGCGTGGCGTATACAAGCGGACTCTCTCGCTTTGTCAAGAATGAAATGCAGCGTCCACTGAGCACTGGCGTGCTTTGTCGTCTACATGGAGCACCGGGCGGGTGCCGCTATGGTGCGGATTGCTGGTACGTGCACGTGTGCCGTGAAATTCTGGCGAATGAAGCGGCCTTTTCGCTGGACACTAACGTGACAAGTTCGGCGAAGGAGTGCCCCATAAAGACTTCGCCCCAGCCAGCCCGTACAAAGGGCGCATGGGTGGTGCCAGACTGCCCGAGAAACCCGTTCCACCAGCCACACCAGCAGTTCCAACAACAAACAGGCTTTCTTGGCATAGATCTCCATCACTCAGCAGTGATTGAAAACCTTTTTCAAGAGGAAAGTAACGGGGGAGCCAGCACCGGCAATTCTCATGATATAACACTTTCCTCAGCAATGCCATGCGTCTGGATGTATCCTGCCTCATCACCATTCGAGCAAGGGAAATGGTTTCAGGCGCAACTACCCGCTGGGGTGTCAGCTTGCGTCACGGGTGGGCAGCCCACGGCTGCGTTGATCGCGACACAGTGGCCCAAGTCGTCCTGCTCTGGCTCTGCCGTTTCTCACGTTTTGATGCCGTGGCAGTCGCAATGGGGCGTCGCATCATCAGTTCCTTTTGGGAAGTCACTCTCAGGTGCCCAACCCACCATGACATTTGGCCAGACATACTGTAACAATAAGGAATCATCGTAACGGAGGTGAATGCTTCTTTGCTAGCAGCAGATTTTTATCATATTGTTCTCGTATCAGGAATTCTGGGGGAAACAGATCTTTGAGCCGCTACGGGATCGGTATCTTGTAAGTTTTTCAGGACTTTTTGCCTATCGTAAAGGTGTCAGAGGCGGCAGGACGATCACGTTTGACACCAGAGCAATAGCATATCGGGTGCAGCACCTCGTCCCGCCATGTCTTCTTTTTTTTTTTTCATGGTTTCTTGTTTTCTACCGATAGTCATGAACGCCTTCGCACGGGCCGTCTGATTTTGTCGTTTTTCAAGCACAGGCAGCACCAATGCCCCCTTCTCCCTTCTGTTGGGGGCTTTGCTTTTGCTTTTGCTTTGATGTTGCTAAGGCCCTTTTTAATTGCATGTGATCGAGATGACTGAATTGAAAGGAAGAACTAAAAAAAGTGCAACAGAAGAAAAGTCGGTTTACTGTATAACCCTCTGTTTTTTTTTTTGGTTTATTGGCCTTTCTCTTTCCTCATTATCTTGACGAGGGGGAGACGGGATGACGTGATAGATTCTTCTTGCCTTTACATTTACGAGCGCTCGCTTCCACCATGTAGGAGCACCTGTCTGTGTGGTTCTCCGTGTTAAAAAGGGGACGCGGGCAGGAGAGTGGTATTTTCGTGAAACCAGGGAGCGTGCGTGTGTGTGTGTGTGTGTCTGTAACAAGGAGGGTGAAGGAAAGAAACCAAATGTATTTTGTGTGCCTTTTGTGTGAAGTTTATGCATATTTGTGTGTGCAGTTGTGGGATTCCGAGCGGACACGCTATCCCTGATGTTGTTTTTCCCGCTACCGCCGCCTCCTTTGCTTTCGTTGGCGCTTCTTTCTTAATCACATTCCCCTCCGAATCTTTCTTCCCTCTTGTTTGCGTGTTCTTTTCTTTCTTTCCTCCTCCTTTGTTTGTTGTTTATGGTGTTCCCTTTCCTGGGTGGTGGTGGTGGTGATGGTGGCAGATTTGAGGGCGGACAGTGACGGTCGTGGGAGAAAAGGGGTACCTTTGTTCTTCCTCTGCAGTGCTTCTGTTCAGGTATAATATATAATGCGGCCGTACTTGTGCGACTCTATTAACAAAAACGCATCAGTAATTCGGCAGGAAAAGAAGAGAAAACAACAACAACCCCAAGACGAAAAAAAACCTTACGAGAATCGAAATAACGTAACAACAGCAGATAGCCACAGGTGTAGGCGGGTGAGAGGGGTAAATGGTGGGAAGCAGCAGGGTCAAGTATGACGCTGACAAGACAACCAAACAGGGATGGAGACACGTCACTGTCTTCTTTTGTATCCCTACACACACTTCTTGATTTTGTGTCATTTTATCTTGCGTATGTAGCCAAATCTGTGCGCATATGTGCGTATTCATGTTTCTTGTGGTTTATTTCACTTTCCCCCCGTTTTCTCCTTTTACTCACTCCGCCTCTTTGCGTGCATCTATTTCTTCAATCTCCGTTCTGGACGACAGACACAATGTTAAAGTACAATTCAGGGCCGTATACATATATGTGTGTATATGTATGGCCCAGTCGTCGCACGTGAGTCGCACCGCATTCAATTATTGTGTCTCTCTTTATTCGCTTTGCGTTTCCTCCCCCCCCCCCCCCCCNCTCTTTGGCTTTTTTTATTTTGGTTTCGTTCTTTCATTCCTTTTACACTCATCACCACCACCACCACCGTTACTTTGTGTGTCTTTAACTCCTTTTTTTTTGTGTGTGCTTTGAGTGCTTCAGATTGTTGTTTGCTTGCCCGTTTTTTTTTTTTTTCTAGCCATTGTTATTGTTTCTTTTTTTCTGGCAACCTGAAGTGGATTATAAATGAGACCGCTCCAGCAAGGCGCCCGTAGCAGTGTTTGACAGAGGGAGAGAGAGAGAGAGGCAAAAAAAAAGCGAAATAAAAGAGAACAGAACAAAAAAGAAAACTGGAGGAGCTGTATAGGGAAAGATGCAATGAAGAAAATACATATGTTTGGCAACAAAAAAAAAGTAGTAAAAGAAGTACACACACCTGTGGTGCAAAATGGATGTGTATCGTGTTGGGCATCCAGAGTTAGTCAGGGGAGTTGCGACGAAAAACAGTGATATGTGAATCGACACTGAGGTCGCAGGGCCGATGCAACAGTGTGCAGGAGTCGCTGCCGTCATTACTGCGCTATCGCTTCTTGTATGTGCATTGCTTGTGGTTTGTTGTGCTCCTTGTGAGGAAGCGATATATATATTCGTTTTTTTTTTTGGTTTTCTCCATTCCTTGTGTATTCCCTGCGGTTTGTCCGAAAGAGCCGAGATATCTCACTCCGCTCTACATTGTTCTTACCTACACACACACACANCACACCCGCAGAGCCTCTCTCTACAATGTGGAGGAACTCAGTCCGAACGCGTGGCGTACAGCTCCCACTCCCGCGAGTCGCTGCTGACATAAATAGCGAACCACGTTTCGAGGCTGTATGTGGGGTTGTCCCAAACGCCTGACGTTCTGTTTTGCTCTGATTCTCTACCCTTTCTGCGTAGGTTTCTGCGAGTTTGTATATATATACATGTGCGTGGGTGTGTGTGTGTGTGCGTATTTGCTTTTTCTCTGTGCTTGTTTTCGTGTTTCTTCGCCCTCTTGCGTTTGTCTCTATTTCTTTGTCGTGGTGGACGACTCCATCGGTTCCGTGAATACAACGCGTCCGAAAGAGCGGATATTCTTCTTCTGCGTATTCCGCTTCTTGTTTTGCAAAACATTTGCCTTGCCAGTCCGGCCATCCTTCCGTTCGCATTTCTACATGCGGGAGGGGACATATGCGGGAGGGGGATTCGGCAGAAGATGAAAACAAAAACAAAACCGAAGGATGGTGTTGTGTATGTATGTGTGTGTGTGTGTTTTTGTCACTGAAGGGTTTATGGCCACAACAACAGCAGCGGCAATCAAGAAACACCACGAAATTGCTGTTGACTTCCTTGTTGTTGTGGTTGCTGTGTGTTCTGCAAGGTGCCGGGGCAGCGGCGGTGGCGTGGTGAGTTCGGCGCTCTGCTGCACTTGGCCGTGTGGTTCCGTGGTGCACTCGGTCACAGGGGGGCGAACGCTGCCTCTTTGTGTGCCTTTGTTCCACTCTCCCTCTCTCTCTCTCTCTCTCTGTCTGTTGATGTGGGTGTCTTTGGTGCTCGTTTTTTTTTTTGTTATTTAAATCGTTTGGTGTTGTGTGCTCCCTTTAGTGTTCGCGCGGTTGCTGCCCCCCACTTCCGAGTCATGCGGCGCAACGGAGACGTGACTCTAATGAGGAGGACAAAACACAAAAAAAAAAAGAAAAACGACGATCAGGCCGAAAACCAAATCAAGAGATGACAGCACACGTGCGGAAAACAGGAAAAAAAAAGAAAACGAACCGTGTGCGGACCCCCCAACAATATACGGCACTTCCTTCAATGGGAAATAAACAAAGTGCGAAGCGCAGTGTTGCGGGGACGTGGGAGAACAAATACTCCAGTGAAACAATACATATGTATGTGTCTGTGTGTGTGTGTGTGTGTGCGGCGGTGGCGTGACGCCGGACGGGGTTGAACGCGACATGAGCCACCACCACAACGACAACAGCAACAATGAAAACAACACAAGACTGAAGGACAGACGACTCTTTTCGAAATTTGCACTACTTTTTCATCGACTGAATGAAACAAGAAAAAAGATAAATACGCGACAGTGGTACTTTTTCTCTCCTTCACCAATCACGTTTTCTTTGTTTCATATTTTTACGTGTGCCTACTTTTTTTTTTTTTGCGCAGTGTTTGACGTTTTGTTTTGTTTCCGTAACTTTCCCTCTAGAGGAGCAGGGGCGCTGCTGTTTTTAGATTGCCCCGCTCGCTGCTCTGCATTGCCGGCTGCTTTACTCCTCCTCCTCCTCCTCCTCCTCCTCCCTCGAAGAAGACTGTGTTTAAGGAACATTTGTGTTGAGGTCTTTTCAGTATCGCAACGTCTCTCGTGGTGTCGTTTGCCCATTCACACACAGAAAACGTTTTGCTCCTCCCTCCATCTTCCCGCCCTTAAATCTGTCCCAACTTTCGTCGTGTGCTTGTTTTTGCTCTTATGTAAGGTGTGACACGCTTCCCCACCCAACATGCAAGGCCGCGATGAAGAATATGTCTGTCTCCCTCTGTGTGTGTGTGAAATTGCGTGAGAGATGTGTGGGCTGCCACTGTGTGTGCGCACAGCTCTCCTCAAATGTCGTGGCGTCTTCCCTTTTGTGCGGATACGTCTATGTATGTCATGTGCCTGCATGGGATTTCTGATGCGAGGGGGAAAAGGGAGGTGGGAAAGGGGGGAGCGGCTGAGTAGCGATGCGAGACCTTCAACAGTAACGTGAGGGGTGTGTGTAAAGACAATCGAGGTAGGTGAGACGCACCTACGTACATATAACACATACCATGCGCGGTGACGCAGAGGAATGTCGAAATGAGAAGAGAGAAACGAAAAAAAAAAAATGATTGAAAAAAAAGGTAAAAAAAAAGAACACCCTCTGCAAGGGTTCAATAATTTGAATGAATATATAAAGAGAAAACGCCTCCTTCAAAGAGACCACGGGCTTGCGTACGACTCATTTTGGTTTTGTTTTTCAAGTTTTTGTTTCCAATGACTTCGTCTGGAAGAAGCTTGCAGTTTCCTGGTTCGCGATCTCCCATCTTCTTCCCTGTAGGCTCTCTCTCTCTCTGCCACACGCACACCCACACACACGCTCTCTCTCTATCTCTTTTCTTGTCGCTGTTGCGCTAGTGCCTTCAGTTATGTACCGTCTAGGGACACGATGTGCTGAAAACATGCCTTGTGGTGTTTTGCAGCGGTGACGTTCTCACCATGAGCCGATTGACGTCACCGTTGATCGCGCGTTTGGTTCGTGACGTCACTCCTTGGCATTGACAGAGACAATGTTCTCCTGACACGATGAAAACATTATGCAAACCTTCATGGAAAGCAGGTGAAAATATGAGAGAATGACAGTTACCTAAGATTTGGACACAATCATTGGCAGGTGCATGCGGTTGGCTTGCCTGACCTGTCGACGCCCAGTGTGGGCGCTGCCACGTACGTGTTGCTGGAGAGGTGCTTGCGCTCTGTTTTTTTTTTTTCTTGTCCTTTCCTTTTCTTCAGCGTGGGATATGGACTCACATTGGTTTTGGTGGAAGGGGGTGATTGGGCCGCACGATATCCTCCGTTTGGGCGGTTGGGGCGCGGGACTCCCCCCCCCCCCCCNTTTTTTTTTTTTGGCAGTCGTCGTTGCGCCAAATCTAAGCTTGTTCATCTGTTCATTTTCTTCCTTGGTTTCTTTTCCCCCGTTCTGCCTTCAGAGGTTTTTTTTTTTTGAAAACAAAGATTAAAAGAAACAGACACCTTTTGAAAAGTGATCAGCCTGCTTAGGAAAACAACTGCGCATAGTGCCTCAAAAGCGAAGAATCATTTTTGAAGGAACAGAGAGTACGAGAGAGAGAGAGTGACTCAATCATCAATGCAGTTATTGGCGCCTCTGATTGACGCAAAGGAGGGTGTCACATATAATTCGAAGGGAATACCATGCATGGTGGTGGTTGACCCTGCCACCCGCAAGCTGTTGATCCCCTGCGAATCGGTGTACCCCACCCGCGCGCAGCAACGTGCGACGATCCCGAGCCTCTGCCAACTTTTCCTGCAGGGCCGTTGCCGCCAGGGCGCACACTGCCACCAGGTGCACGCCGCGCTGGACGCGATAGTGGCTCTGCGAAGTCAGGTAGAGAGCCTCCCGTGGTGCTGCACGCTGCATGGTGACCAAGACCATGCCGGTGTGATGGAGGAGGGGTCGTGGCTGTCGAAGGTCGTGCTACACCTTCCTGAATTCGACTATGAGGGTGGTTATGTTCCGATCAACCGTGTTGGTTACACCGCCGCTCTGCGCAGGTTGCTCAAGGAGCGGTATGCCCGGGTGGTGGGGGAGGAGCAAGATGAGAGCGGGGACGTGGGTGAACTCGCTGCGGAAGCTGAGCGTCTTGTGCTGGATGCAAGTGATCAGGTAATTTGTCGTTTGCACATATTTGATCGTTGCCGCTACGCCGAGGAGTGCAGGTTTCTACACTTGTGCAAGGATATCACAGCCACCCTCTGCACTTCAAAGTCTGAAGGAGATGCTATGAGCTCTACACGTGCCAGTCAATCTGTTTCGGTGTTCGCCTCAGGGTCGCGCAATCATGTACTTCGTGGCTACCCACTGCAGTATCCCGCCAGCGAAGTACGAACGAATAGCGGGTCACCAAAGCCCTGGAATTTGACTTGCGAGCCTACATGGACTGCAAGTCTAGGCTCGGCCTTGACCTCGTACCAATCGAATGCACCGGTGACAGCGCTGGCGTTGCCCCAATTCCTGCAGACATCCACGTCACAGACTCCAAATGGAAGTTTTTGCGGAGCTGCAATAGAGAGAAGTCTGAATGTGTCATCCTTCCCTGAGATAAACCGCCACATTGCTTCACTGGCAACTGAGAATGTACTTCTGGATGCTGTAACACCATCGATGGCACCCCCAAAACGGGCAACGGTCAGTGTTAGAGCCAAAATGAGCAGCTCCGGATGTGACAGTGACCTGGGGGTTGACCGCTCGTTCACCTCCGAGCTTCCTTTGACACCGTCGTCTGAAAACGCGACCTCGTGCCCAGCGACATCGGGAAGCTTTAGCTGCAAGCACTATTGGCAGCACAACCCGTACCGCAGTACAGCTCTTCTTCAGGCTCAGGGGCGCAACGTGGTGTAGCAAAGATGCGCCGTATGATCGTTGTGCTTTCCTGGTGCTGTTTCTCTCTTTCCGCTTTGCTTGGACAGTGCCAGTAAGAGAGGTTGCGTTGCGCTATATTATTATTGGTCACTGGGGCTTGTTTGCACATATGGTAAACTTGCCTTTGGGAAACCTTGTTTTCTTTTCACACTCCTTCTCCTTTACATCCTAGGCTTTGTTGTGGTTTGCTTTCCGGCACGTTACTTTCAACCTTAGTTTTTTGTTTCTCTGATTTGATTTCATCTCTTTGATGGGCACTTCCCCACCGCCCTGTTCTTACAATCTGTGCATGCGTCATCTGTCTTGTGAGCTCCCAGACTCTTTTCTTCTTACTTTGTCCATCTCTGTGTGGCGGTGCCAATGCTTCTGATGGCGTTTGTGTTTTTGTTATTATTCTTCGCTTCCCCCCACTGTTATCGCCCTGTGTCTGTCAGCCTGAAGCGGCGTACACTCTCACACACTCTCTCTCGGTGTGTGTGTGTGTGTGTGTGTGTGTGCCCGTGACGAGTTTATATGTGCTTCAGGCAAAAAAAAAAGATGCCAAATAGACAGACCGGGGTGTCGTGGACCCCGAGCAAACAAAAAAAATAGAGAGTGGAGAATAGGAACTGACAGTCCGCACGTCTTCATTCCTTTTTTCCTCTTTTTTTTTGTTTGTGTGTGTGTCTGGTGGCGGCAGTGTGGATATGGTTGTGCTGGGGCTGATTGACGTGTGGGACGCCGTAGCACCATTTGTTGTGTGGCACTGCCAACAAAATATGTATCGCATTACCCCTGCCTATACATTTATATATACATGTGCCAAGGTGTCTTGGAGGTGACGGATCTTCTCATATACTTATCTGTCCATGTGTATACTTGTAGCAGCTGCAAAACCGCGAAACACAACAAAGAAAATCGGGGTATGATACTGTGGCTCGGTAAGAGGCACATTACAAATGGTGTGGTGTCCTTGTTTGTTTGTTGCTCACGTGCTTCTCTCCCGCCAGAGCTCAGTAGATCCTGGTAGGAGTAGCCGAGCGGGGACAAGGAGAAGCCAAATGAGTGAGGAACAACGAAGAAGTGAAGCGGGAAATATGACGCGAAGACACACGTGGGGAGCATGGAAGAAAAAACGAAATAGAGAGAATGGAAAGAGAGAGAGAGGAATAGAGGCAGAGCAGCAGATGGATTTTCCGCATGCGTGGAGAGGTGGAGGTGAATGTAATGATATTGGGGCCAATTGTTGTTTTTTTATATATCAGGGTGCTGTTTTGCTTGGTGCACTTTGTTTCCGCCTCATTTGTTTTCTTCGCAGCTCTTCCCACCCAAGACGACTCACGGAACTTTCTTTTTCTTTTCATTTTGCTGCCCTCTTTATCTATTTATCTTCTGGTTCCTTTTTTTTTATGTTTGGTTTGGTGTTTTCAATGTTGATCATGTTATAGTTGCTGTTTGTTTTTTTTTCCGTTGCCGTATGCGTGCGTGTGTGTGCTTTTCTTTTTTCTTTTCTTTTCTTTTCTTTCGTTTGGTTTCGTTTTGTTTCGTTT